TGGTTGCAGTTGGCATATGGATGCATTCGTCAGCGTAGAGGTAAGGTGTACCTTCAAATTTTATCATGGTATATAATTTTGATGTAAAATGTTCTTAGGATTATCTCAAAATCTATTTTTATATCTAATTATAAAATTTTAAATTTCAAATATGGTTAAAATCAAGTAGATCTATAAATATTTGAAAATCTTGAAAATGGACGGCTTACATAATATGTTGGAAAATGCTCTATTTCTGATACTTACAATCTTTTTATTTTTTATAGTCATACATCTTGATGTCGAGATGATCAATCAAAAGGTTTTTCAACGTTAAACCTACTCTTTTTTTCTTTTTTTTTTAAATCGATTTTTGAGGGGCATTCGTAGTTCTACACATCCTTATCCTTAAATTTTTTTTCTATATATATATATATATATATGATCTTTTTTTATAGGGCTCAGGGCTCAAAGAATCAGACACCTTGTACCTGTGCTACGCTGACATGCATACCCACACAATTGTGTAGCAATGAAAGAGTGATACTCTAGTGTGTACTGGTGTAGAGACCATAATGAGTTTGTTCAAGACTAAGTCTAAGTCAGTACGAAACGCGTTGCATACGTTCATTCACCCTCTCAGATTCCACCTTAGTGGCCCTATTCACTCATATATATGCCATTGGAAGCACAACTACATTTGAAGCTAAAGAAATTCGACGTATTGACTCCGCAATTATCATGTGGCACTATTTTTGGAGTATTTGGAATGAGAGCACCACGGTAATGAGGGATGCGGATTAGTCAAAATCGGTTCCATAGTAGTTCAACTGGTTGGCATAGTTGTTTAAAAACATAAAGAGAAGATATGAATAATAGTTAAAAACATGAAATGTATTACCAAAAAAATACCTAATTTGATCAATCTTTAAAAAGAAAATTGTTGATGGTGGGATTCGGAACCACGGTTCGTATAAAGTATAGTCGTCAGCGCTAACCAATACACTACTCTAAAATATTTAATATAAATGTGAAGTAGTATGCTATTTAAACTTTAAGAAATCGATTGATCACCAAAACAGCTCAAAACTGGCCGGTTCCGATCTAACTGGGCGGTTAGAGGTTAGATCGGCCGATTTGATTTTACGAACACGGAGCTAAAAACACATTGACCTTAACAATGAATGAGGCTCTACTCAATACCAAAATATTTTATGTTCTTACAGGAGTATACTATCCATTTATTCCCACAGGCAGAACTAATCTAGGAGTAGCTTTAGGATCCCAAATCCCGCAGGCAGAACTAATCTAAGAGTAGCTTTAGGATCCCAAATTTTGGGAAATAACCTTTTTCAAGTGGTAGATTAACCTCAAAAGAGAAAATTTCCAAATCACACACTATGCATTTGAAAGAATAATGTCTCAAAATCTAAAAGGGTTTTCATGCTGAGATCTAAATGCCAAAATATTTAAAGTGGAGATCATTAGGTCTTCCGCCCGAAAGAGTAGATGGATAGCATATGCCCCTGTGGGGGCATAGTATAGGTGCTATTAGTCAATTGTGGGGGCAAGCAAGAGGCAAGCATTGTGAAAGATGGCCAGAACTAAATGTTCTCAGTTAACCTTGACCATTAGTTACCCTTAGCCTTCCAGGCTTTGGAAACCCTAGGAAACCTTCACAAATCTTTATGGAAAGGTGTTCACAGTCCAATAATTGAGGTTAAGTCTAAACGAGTGATCGTAAAATCGAACTGGAACGGTTAACTGGACATGGGCTTGGAAGTGGTTTAACCGGTCTAACTAGTAAACCGGCCGATTCAACCGTTCTAACCGGACAAGTCCCAGGCGATTAAAAAAGTGTTTACAAAAATAAAAAAATTCAAAAAAAATCTATTAAAATATAAAAAGTATATAAATAATGATTAAAACAAAACACATTCAAAGTGGGTATTAATGATCAAAACAATTTTTAATATTTACTATAATATAAATAATATTTAAAAATCCATTAAAAATCAAATTCTTTATTTTTGAGAATTTATATATATATATATTTTAATTTTTTGTTTTCTTAATACCAGTTGATCACCCTAACCGCCCAAAACCGGAACCGACCTGTGGAACAATGGTCTAAACCAAGGTCAATATCGAGGTTTTTTTTTAGTTTTGGCAAGTGCCTAATCTAAAAGCGTACAGGTGAAGTCTCGGAAGCTCATAACCACAACTAGAATTGCAGCATGTGATATGCTCTGCAAAACTAAAACGTTCAAAAATGGTGAAAGCACGTTTTTGAAGGTTTGTTTGGGTTCAGTAGTAGGAATCGAACCCGAGATGCAGCGTTTGCTTAACATTAACTACAAACCACTTGAGCCTAAGTCCGATTCTTTTTTACTCTGTTAAACTAGGTGGATAGTCATATAATGTTCCCACTGACTTGGAAGTGATTACACACTTGGGATAAATTGGGCTAAGTGGGGGGGTTGTTAAACTGCTCTTTCCATTCTCTTGAGAGACTTCAAAGCTAAGAGTGATTTGCCTTATTGCAGAAACGGCTAGGCGATTGCTCGAGATTCACAATGAATGAAATCTTGATTTGGGCCATTATTATGATAGAAGCATGCGATCTCTAGTTACCCGCCTCAAATCTTCGTGACAGTAGGGTATAGCCTCTTTACACCATTTTCATCGAAACTTCAACTGATAATGGGGTCTATATAGATCTGAGACGCACCCTTCATTCGATTGTGGCTCCAATGGAGCAGGTGGTAGTGGCTTGTTTTGTAAGGATGACACTTCACAATACAAAGAAACAAAAGT